CTCTAAATCTGTTAGAAGAAAAAGTTGGGAACAGCCTAGAACACATTGGCACAGGAGACAACTTCCTGAACAGAACACCAACAGCACAGGCTCTAAGAGCAACAATCAATAAATGGGACCTCATGAAACTGAACAGCTTCTGTAAAGCAAAGGACTCTGTCATCAAAACAAAACGCCTGCCTACAGATTGGGAAAGAATCTTCACTAACCCTTTATCTGACAGAGGACTAATATCGCGTATATACAAAGAACTAAAGAAGCTGAAAAGCAGCAAACCAAGTAATCCAATTAAAAAATGGGGAACAGAGCTAAACAGAGAATTCTCGACAGAGGAATATCGAATGGCAGAGAAACACTTAAAGAAATGCTCATCCTCATTAGCCATCAGGGAAATGCAAATCAAGACGACCCTGAGATATCACCTTACACCCATCAGAATGGCCAAGATGAAAAACTCAAGGGACAACACATGCTGGAGAGGTTGTGGAGAAAGGGGAACCCTCCTCCACTGCTGGTGGGAATGTAAACTGATACAACCACTCTGGAAATCTATCTGGTGCTTTCTAAAATAATTAGGAATAGTGCTTCCTCAAGACCCAGCTATACCACTCCTAGGTATATACCCAAAGTTTGCTCAAGTACACAAAAGGGATATTTGCTCAACCATGTTTATAGCAGCATTATTTGTAATAGCCAGAACCTGGAAACAACCCAGATGTCCATCAACGGAGGAATGAGTACAGAAATTGTGGTATTTTTACACAATGGAATACTACTCAGCAATCAAAAAGGAGGAAATCATGAAATTTGCAGGCAAATGGTGGGATCTAGAAAAGATCATCCTGAGTGAAATATCCCAGAAGGAGAAAGACAAACACGGTATATACTCACTTATATAGACCTATAAGATATGATAAACATAATAAAATCTATACACCTAAAAAAGATAATCAAGAGAGCGGACATGGGGTAAGATTATCAATCCTCGTTTAGAAAGACAGATGGGATGCGCATTGAACATATGACAGGAGTCTACTTGAGCGCATTTGAAAGACTCTAACTAGCAGTGTCTTCAAAGCAAAGACTCATGACCAAACCTTTGGCAGAGTACAGGGAATCATAAGAAAGAAGGGGAGTTAGTCTGATGAGGAAAGGATAGGAGCTCCACAAGGACCAAATATACCTGGGCACAGGGTCTTTTCTGAGACTGACATGCAACCAAGGACCATGTATGAATGTAACCTAGAACCTCTGCTCAGATGTAGCCTGTGGTAGCTCAGTAACCAATTGGTTTCCCATAGTGAGGGGAACAAGGACTGTTTCTAACAGGAACTCAATGACTGGCTCTTTGGCCTCCCCACCCCCCAAGGGAGGAGCAGTCCTGTTAGGCTATGGAGGAGGGCTTTGCAGTCAGTCCTGAAGATACCTGATAAAACAGGATCAGAAGAATGGGGAGGAGGTCCCCCCTATTAGTGGACTTGGCAAGGGGCAAGGTGGAGATGAGGGAGGGAGGGAGGGACTGGGAGGGAATGAGGGATCGGGACATGGCTGGGATACAGAGTTAATAAAATATAACTGATAAGAAAAAATAAATGAATATAAAAAATGTGGTATGTGTATACAATGGAATACTATTCAACCTTAAAAAGGATGAAAATACTGTCATCTGTGACAAATTGAATGAAAGCGGAAAACATTACGTGAAAGAAATAAGCCAGGCAGAGAGAAAAAATAAGTAACACATGCCGTGCAAAGCAGTGAAACAGGGGGACTCAGCTGATAGAATGGTAGTCAAGGATGGATGCTAAGAGTAAAGAAAGTGTAAATGAGGTCTGAAATCGAAGAGTCTTAGATAAGAGAAAGTACTTTTTGGACTTTTTGACATAAGAGGTTAATACGGCTGAAAAGAGAAGAGTGATGGTTTTGGAAACATGAAAAGTACATTTCAAATGTTCTTACCGCAGAATGTGTTAGTGACTTGAGAAGATGGACAGGCTGACGAGCCTTATTATGTCATTCCACATTCACATGCCATAACATCACCTTGAAGCCTATAAAACACACACATTTTAACTTACCAACCTAGAGAAAAATAAAATTTAAATAATTGGTGTAATGCACCTTAAAATCTGTTTGTTTCACGTAAAGAAATAAAATGTAATGACTGTCATTAATGAAAATATGATGATATAAAAGCATAAAAAGTAAAAAAGTAAATAAAATAATGAAATAAAACGGCATAATGATGCATACAACTAGTGACAGATGGATATGCAGAGATCTCATGTCCTTCTAGATACATATGCATAGAATTCCCTCCATTTATGTATAGTGTTATTGAATATTCTTCTTGGTTAATACATGGTAAACACCCTCTCTGTCGATGCATTGGTGGCTTCCGAGTCATTTCTGATTGTGACATGTAATGCCTTTCCGCGGTGGAAATTGCAGGGAGCTAATAATCTCTGCTGTTCAACATCTCTATCATATCTGCTATTTGCTAACACTGTCGGGTGACTGGGAAAACAGTATTGTCTGAAATTGAAAATCTGGATACCGGGTGTTTTAGAGAAGAATGCAATAAGGTCCAATTTAAAGCTGTTTGGTATGAGGGCACCCAGCACGTCAGCAGCCAAAGGTGCTGAAACCTCTTGGAAATCTGTTAGGGGCTGAGCATGAGGTTTGGAAAGTATTGGTCTTTCCCTGAGAGCTGAGACCTGAGATTCAGTCCACAGGGAAAGAAGGCTTCTGTCTTATGCAGAAAAAAAGAGTCACGCCTTAGGGTAGAGGTGTGCTGTGGGCCACACAGGCAAAGCAAATGCAGCCTTGTGTGTGCAAACACAAGTGCACACATGTACACACGCACACACATGGCTGTAGCAGTCTTCTACGTATTATAAGATATACAGCCTATGACCCTCTCATCAGAAGGAGCTTTATCAATATATGAATGTTTGCATATGATTTGCTAAGCATATTTAGCTTTCTTTTTGTTGAGCTTAAATGAAATCATACAAAAATTGTCAAAAGCATTTTATTTGTATACGTCAAAATGTCAACCTTAAGAATTTGTAAACTGGGCGTTAGTTTTTCTAACTACATGTACTAAGCAATACAAGCTGAACTGTATAGATAATATCTACCTGGCTCTTTGGGATGTTGCCTAGTGCTCCAATGGCTGCAGTTATAAACAAACTGAAATCTATCTGCAGCCTTTAAGAGATCAGGTATTGTAATGCAGAGCTATAAAAAGAAAAAAGCTCTCATTCATTTCATGTCAGAGGTATGTAGGTTCTTCTGTTTTCTTGCTATGGACATCATTCACAAAGGTGACAATGCTTGTGATTTTTCCTACTGTTCACTTATCTCTCATCTTGAAACTTCTCCCTTACTCAAACCTAAAACATACTTGATTCTCTTCAAACTGTGGTCAAATAGAGTAAAAAAAAAAATGCTGTAATACCATGTGTGGTCTTCTTCCACTCTCTGTCTAATGCCTGAATACATGGGTGTGCACACAGAAACACACTTATACACACACACACACACACGCACGCACGCACTCACGCAGACACACACACCTCCAGTTATACCCTACCTCCCTATATCATGCATTCACACTCTTTAAATGCTTTAAACAAATTGATTTTATAAGAAGACAAGAGCCAATACAAAGAGACATCCCCCAAAATGTGCCTCATAAAGAAAAGGATACAGGTTACAGGTAATACATTTGAAATTGATCATGGAGGGAGTTAGAATAAGGAAAAAAATGCAGGCAGGAAGGGAAGGATCCATGAAAGGCAGAGATCCCTGATGGAGAATAATATCCATAGCTATGGCCTAGATGCCATCAGGCTCTTTTATTTTTTTTTCTTTCAATACCAGAAACACAATAGCCTTTTCAACTGGCAAGTTTGATGCCTTTTTGCATATTAAGTGAGCTTGGCTCTGCGTTATAAGTGGTGGAGGACTGAAAATTATTTCTATGCAAGTCATGGCAATCTTTATCTACACAAGACACATGCCTATAAAATTAAGGTTCTGCACAAATAACTTTTCTTTTGAGTGATGATTCATGAGAGAACAGAGTTCTACTTTTGAATTAAGTAGCCCTGTCCATTCAGTAACTACTTTGGAGGAGAATATTCATCCATTTTTGTGTGTGTGTGTTTTTTCAAGTATTTGTCTTTGACAGATAAACAAAAAGAAAGAGGAGTGGAGAGAAAGGAATAGATGAGCTTGAGAATGAGAAGGAAAAGAGAGCACAGTATGCAGGCTATTCGTTAGTGAGGCAGGTGCCTCAGTGCTCTCATTAAAACAGAGTAACATCCTGGTTTCAGTCGCCACTACACAGAGCCTATGTGCATTTATTTCTAAGTGCTAAATAAGATTTTAATGTAAACTGGTATTTCTTAAGTTCTGAAAAAAAAATCAAGCTCCTCCAATCCTCGAGTGTATTATTTCTTTTGCAATTAGAAGTCTCCCCATGGCCTACTTTCATCATTCTCCAATGTATCTCTGAGGTAGGAAATGAGACATCCAGCAGTCCAACTGCTAAGGTGAAAGATGGAGAGGAGAACTGGCAAGGGCTTGGTAAGGGGCCTTCTTGAAGCCACATCCAGAGCAGTGAGATTACTGAGAAATGGGTTTAGACCTTGTGACTTAAAGTAGCCCAGATCTCAGCACTGAGACACTCTCACAAACTAAGTACAAAGAAGCTGGGCCAATGGAACCAGAAAAATAAATTAAGAAATGATCCCCGTTTGTATTTGAATCTCAGTATGTTTGAAATAGAGTTTTTGTTTGTTTAATTTATTTTCCTTCTGTTTTCACTCTATAACATCTTTTAACTTTGAAAATGATGACGATTGTGTACAATATTGCAGATAGACCATTGGGGTCTGTGTTCATTTGAGTGCTATGATGACATTCAGGGAAAGATTATACGGTAGTACAAATATGATACAATGCAGTCATGGCTACCTTCTTTCTTGCAGGCACAATATGGAACCTCGGTGTCTTCCCAGCCCGAACTGCCCCTGTTTTACACTCCTGTTGACCTAGTGGACATCAGTGTGGAAATGGCAGGGTTAAAGTTTCCCAATCCCTTCGGCCTTGCTAGTGCGACACCAGCCACTAGCACACCAATGATTCGAAGGGCCTTTGAAGCCGGATGGGGTTTTGCTCTGACCAAAACTTTCTCTCTTGATAAGGTAAGAAAATATGCAAATGTCTAGCTTGCCTTCTAATTAAAAGAACTATCATATAATGAAATAAAATACCAGTAAAGTGATTAATAATCACTCGTCCCTGTTTTAAACTGAATTGAATCTACTTTAATTGTCTACACTAGAAGAATGTTGTAGCTGTTTGGCTGTTTATATGTAGTGTTTTAAGTACATTAAACATTCCTGTCTTAATTTTTTACTCCCTTATGAAAAAAACAAAGCTTTCAAACTCACTTCATCTGTGTCTTTGAAATGCAGACTATGTCATTGATATTTATAGTCATGATTTTATGAGGTAGCACACTAAAATTTTCTACCTAATTTTACCTAATGGATCTACACTTCCACACTCCTCTCTCCTGCACTAAACCAGCCCACAGTACTTACTATTTAACTCTTTATTTGTGTAAGCTTCTATAGACAAGTGAAATCATGTCATCCAAGTGTTCCCCCTGACTGGTTTATTTCACTTAACATAACAATTTTGAGTTCTATCCATGTTGCTGTGAATTCAAGATTCCATTGTTATAGCTAAAAAGTACTCCATTGGGTATCTGTACCATATTTTTTATATCCATGCATCACTTGAACATTAGGGAAGTTTATATTTTTGTGCTGTTTTGAATAGTAGAACAATTGACATGCGGATACATACTTCTGACATATTGATTTCATTTCATGTAGATATGTATCTCTTGACGGGGGTGCCTGATAATATGAGAGTTTCTATTTTTAATTCTTTGTTTTGACAAGATTATTTTGTGACTTGAACATGTGTGTAAATGGGACAATATGTTTCAATTCAAAGTTAGGAAAACAATGGATTTAGTTTGCATAAAATCCTACCATCACTACATGTTTTACAGTCTTTTACATTGCATTTTGTTGGTGGTGATAGGATGGTTATTCATCATGACTTTTTAATAAAAAAAACACTACCCCCCCAATAGAATTTCCTCTTACATTATGGATTTTATGCTTCACAAAGAATGCTACATACTTCGGAAATGAATGATTACATTTGAGATCAAATCTTTAGCACAAAAAGCAGTTCTGGTGAGATGGCTCAGGAGGTAAAGGTTTTTGTAACCAAGCCTGGCAAATTAGGCTTGATCCCCAGGATTGAGATGATAAAAAGGGAAAACTGACTCCTAAGTTATTTACTGTAGGCCACGTGAGCATTATGTCACGGGCATGAGAACACACACAAACACACACACAAGTAAGCAAACAAATAAATGTATGTAACTTTAACCACATAAATCATCTAAATGCAGGCTTCCAAAGTTGGGTAATTTGTAGAATAGAAGACAGACAACATCCTTACATGGTGGTGAGTTAGAAGTCTAATTTAGCATTTCACAGGCCATTTATTGAAAAGGTTTTGGAAGACAAGCCTCATCAATGTGGTTAGCACTAAGTTGTAGTTAGTAATAATTAACATATAAAAATGTGTGGATCTAGTGACTAAAGAGAGTTTCATTATTTAAATCAGCCTTATCCTTGGGCAAAGAAAATAACAGAACAAACATGCCCCATTAAGCGCATTCTCTCCTGCTTTCTTCTTTTACTAGGATCGATAGCTGACATTATTATCGTTAAAGTATTACAGCTGTCTTAGTCTGACAGTTTTATAAGAGGTTGGGTAAAGCTGGTCCAGGAACCCAGAAAACCCTCAGGAGTCAGAAAAAATCAGAGCAAGGAAAGATATTTTTTAAGCATTGTAATTCTTAGATAAAAAAGTACATGGGAACATCAAGCATTGTATTAAACATCGAGAAAGACTTTTGCTAAACAAAATAATGAATTGAACTGAATAGTCTGGATCAGATTTAAAATGTTATGGATGAGTTGTGTCTAGTCTTGTAGACTATTAATAGTGCATTTGTTTTTGTTTCTCTTCATCCCTTAAGAATTATGGAAGCTTTAATCAAATGTTTAACTGGTTGGTTTCGAAAGTCTCCAGAGCATTTATTTAACGGTCTATATTAGTTATGCCCTTTAAAATACATACATGTAAACAGGAATAGGTTTTTAATCAGGTGTAAGTGAGGAATTATAGGTGGTTCAGATTTGCTGCTGGCTTTCCAAAATTGAATTCTGAGTCATCAGAGTTATCATTCTCTCCTCTGTTGGTGACGCACATTCTTTCGTGACCCTGTGTCATTCAGGCACAGGGAAGCTGTTTTCTTTATTAGGCTCACCAGCAGAAACAAATTTAGAGACTAACTTCCTTCTGAACCTCCAATTTGAATATAATCTATCCAATCAGAACTCTGTGCTGTAGGCTCAATGGGAAAGATATGAACAAACATGAGTTAAATCTTGCACATGAAACATCATGACAACCCCACCTTGCTTACTTTGAGAGTGGTATAAAACTAGTGTGCAAAGACTATCTTAGGTTTATCTGCACAAACTGTAAAGGAAAAAAATCACTATGCCATCTTGACTATAAGTAATGCTGTGTCAAAAAAAAAAAGATACTTCCCCATGCATGAGCTTAAAAAACACCCTATCTAACTCCTGGAGAATAGTTCATTTCTTATATTGTCCTTAATTACTGATAAAACCTGTTGTGAATATATAATTATATTTCATGAACACCTGTGCTTTCTTATGGATGCAATGTTGTCGTACACAACATTTGAACTCTCATTTCCTCCCACACAACCTTTCCTAAAGATGGGTATTAAAATATCACATATAGTATACATGTGTGTGACATTACAGCAAACCAATTGGGATTGGCCTTATCATAATTTATTATGCCAATTCAAGAATCTGTTTAAAACTTATTATAATTCAGAATCTTGACATTTGAAATTTGGATGCTCATAATATGACAAAGGCTAGTCTGTGGAGTTTTGTTATCATATGAAATATTAATATTTCACAACACATCTTTGATGAAGTACAATTTGCCGAGCCTGCATATGATAAAGAAATTAAATGCTCACCAAGGGAGTTCAGTCAGAATTAGAGCCCTGCCTGAACATCTGCTGGAAGTTTCATTATCCAGTGCTACGCCAGTGCGGCTCCCTTGTTTTTTCTAGATTGACAGCTGAATATTGCCCTGATTCCTGCAGCAAATAGATTTAACTCAATGTTGCCCCCACCTTTGTTTTATTTTTTTGGAAGAGTGTTGAAGGCTGCTTTTGATTTTTAAACTATATTTTTTATACTCTTGACATTTGTAGATGCCACATTGAGGTCTAATATGCTGTAGCAGCGATAGGCCATTGACTTGTAGGGAAATGCCAGCTGATATCTCAGTAAACAGAAATATTATTATTCTTCACTGAGCCGTCTGTATAAAAGCTGGGTGTGCTTTCTTTAGGGAGGCAAATGATCAGATTTTTAATGCCAAATATAAAAAGATATGTGTTTGCTTTTGTGTTAAATAACATCAAAGATGGCTTTTATTAACTCTTCTTCCTTCCCCAAGTCAATCTTTCTAAGAATCAATGCCCCAAAATAACTATATTGCTTTCTTTGAGATGTTATGTTTTAGAAGGACAAGTGATATTTAAAACAAAATTATGAAATCATTTTCTCCATAAATGCAAGTTTGAATTTAAAAGAAGAAAGATGGAAGAGAAACCAACCTGTCAAGCTTGATTAAAGCTAAATTATCATGATGAGGCAGAGAACTGTTTTATTTATGGGGAACAGTGCAAAAGGCTGTGGGCGTCACATAAAGTAACACTTGACCTGTGCTCATATTATATGAATAAGAAAAAGATAAAAACATTTTGTTTATGTCAAATGTCTGTACAAATATGACTTCTCATAGAGATGCAAATTCTATACTACAAGTGTATACCTACATATTGAACACCTGGTTGAGTTTTCAGTAATAAACATCTTGTCAGTATGTCCTGTTTTAATAAGGGTCAGATGGTCAAATAAATAGGCAAGTTCATACTGTATTGTCTCTCAACATCAAAACCCTAAACAAAATAAGGTTCCTCATTATTTCTTCCCAATCACATTGCAAATTGTACTGATCTAGGTAAAGTTTATGCTTACCATACATAGCAATGCTGAGTTCTCAGGAAGAGTTTGGTAAACTTTTCAGACAGCTCACAAAAAATGAATAAATAGATTATTTGCCACCAACATATTGAGATTTTTTTCCCTCAGCCATTTGAACAGATAGTTAACACATAAAGCAACTGACTGTTCTGAGTATTGATCTCAGTCACAGGAGAAAAGGCCAATTTAAAATTTCTCATCTCCTGTGTTGTTTTCTATACCTGTCTGAAACTGAAAACATCAGTGGAATTTCTGCATGCATGGATGATATTTTAAGAATGAGATCACTGAAGCCTTGAAAATGCAGAGGGTTATTGAGAAAACAGAACTGGAATCACGTTGTATTAGGAAAATACATAAAAATAATCTGGTCTGACTATGTAAGATGATGTTTTTGTAATTCTGACAAAAGGAACATAACCCAGTGTGTTAGTGTGTAGCGGGGAATGCAGGCACATGCTTGTATATGAATGAGAAAAACAGGTTTATATCTGCTGTGATTCTTCAATTACTTCCCCTCATTGTGTTTTGAAGCAAAGTCTTTCACTGAATCCGGAGTGTGCCTATTTGGCTGAGTGGCTGACAATCAAGCTCCAGATATACTCTTGTTTCTACATCCCCAGATCCAGGATTTAGACATATTCTGCCTTTAATTTTTAATTTAGTGTTTTAATTGGAAGATGAGAATCAAGTTAAGCTCCTTAGGCAGTTGACAAATAAGACATAACCCCATAAACTTTAATATCTTTAGTAACAAAAACTATGGTAGGTCTTCAAGTGGGTGCAGCCCATTGTAGCTATGTAAGGGTCTATTTTATAAACATATTCCTTTTATTGATCCCAGATCCCAGACTTATCATTAGTCTGGCCCATGCTTTTTGGATATGTCTGTACTGTGAGACATCATGAAGTAAATTCGTATAACTCTTTAATATAAATGTGTTGTT